GAATGTAATGGCAGGAGCGGCCGTGGTCTGGTCTGATTAAATGATCTGTTTAGAGGCAGTGGAGCTTCTGGCTGTGACTTGACAGAACAACAATACAACCTGACTCAGGCCGCAAGTCATTACAGAAAATGCTTAGTCATCCGCTCCCCGAAACGAAGTGGCCAGATATCGCCTCCTATTAGAGAAGGTCCTCGCTGACATCATAAAGCCCATGCATCACATTGCCGTGACAACAAAGCCAGCAGGCAGCCGCATCTATAATTTGCTTTATGGAGTGTCGCCATTATATTTCTCTCCTCTCCTCCGCACTGGCATAAATAAGAGGCCGCTCAGGGTTTGGCGCCACAGGTTGTGACCCAGAGCCTTGGCTGAATCAATAGTGAATAAGCACGGGTTTGAAGCTGACGCAAGGTTGGCTGTGGTGTGACATCGCATGCTTCGCATTGTTCATCAGTTCGGTTTAAATCATAAAGTCTGGAAGTATCGCAAAGTCCGAGGTGAGGTGGAGGTGACATGCCATGAGTGCCTCTGTGCTGCCTGCTTACGATGACAGAGTGCTGTATTTCACTCATGTATACAGCCTCGATTGACTGACTAACTGCTGTTGGGCTATAAATATCCTTCATCGCAGCCTCAACAAGTCACGGCTGTTTTGAGTATAATGATGTTTAATTATGGTGACTCTGTAACCTTTGTCAAAGGAAGAGTGTCTGTAAAAATGGGTGCCAGTGAAAGGTTAAATAAACGGTTCATTGTTTCCTGCATTATTTGATAGCAGGGCCAGCCTCTGTGTTTTGCGCGTTTGAAAGTCAGACAGGAAGTTTCTCTTACAGCCATGGCTGGTTATGCTGCTTTTCACACCACCAAAACATATAAACATGTTTGCTAATACTTAGACAAAGAGAGTCATTTGGGTTCGGTTACTTTCACCTTCCTGTTTTTGGTGTGCATCTGCCCAACGTTTGCAGCCCTTCAAGCACAGCCTACCTTTGCATGCAAGTTCCTCTCTGTCCACCTCCACTTCCTTGTCTCCTACTTGTCTTGCCTGTTTTTGCCTTATTGGCTTTTTGCCTTTTTCCAGAATTTCATTTCAGCAACAAGAGGGATCTAATGGATTTAGGTTTGTTCATTCTTGCAATGATATGATTAAAGGGGAATTGACCCACAATGCCTTGGAATTTGTCTTAGCATAGAATATGTGGGTGCTTTTGTGCCAGTGCCCGATTTGCGCATTTTCTTTAGTGAATCATGTGCTTAAACTGTAGTGAATTCTCTTTAAGGGCTTTGGGTTTTACATTTTTAATTTAGTTTTGATTCCTATTTTATTTCCAGGTTGTCGTTTCAATTTTTGTTTTAATTAGATTTCACTGTCAATTTTATTTTAGTTTTTTAGAGATTTCCAGTTTCATTTTAACGTGTTTATTACATTTTATTTTATTTTCTCAGCACAGCCTGGTGTTTTTGCTGTCTGATGGAGTTTTCATTATTACAAGATTACAAGAAATTACATTACAAGATTAAATAATACAGCATGTATAAAAAAACTAAAATATATTTTTTATATTTATTTAAACTAGTTTTGTAACCATAACATTTTTTAATGTACATTACTGTTCAAAAGTTTTGGACCAGTAAGATTGATTGATTGATTGATTGATTGATTGATTGATTGATTGATTGATTGATTGATTGATTTGACAGAAATGAATTTGATCAAAAGTGACAGTTAAGACACTCATAATGTAACAAAAGAGTTTTAATGTTTTTATTTTGAGCTTGCTATGTATCAAATAATACTCAAAGAAGAAAAAAATGTAAGTTCTCATACATTTCCATAAAAATTGTAAGCCGCACAACTATGTAAACATGGGTAATAATAAGGGTTTAGACAAAATATATAAGAAATAATAATAAAAGTTTTTCCGTGACATGAATACACTATATTTTTAAATATATTAAAGCAGAAAATAGTTACTTTCTGTTCTTAATCAAATAAATGCAGCCTCTGTGAGCATAAGAAACTTAAAAACATTTTACTTGAAATTTTAAACAACAAAAAAATCTTACCAACCTATAGTGTATTTTAGTTTTGTTTCTTTTTTCCCCTAGCTATGCTAATTTTATATGCAAGTTAACGAAAATATTTTCATCAATGTTAATAAAACGTTCCCCTTTTTAGTCCTTTATCCACCTTATTTTTCAATATGGAAGTAAGCTGTTTTCTGTGAATGTGCGAGACTTCTGATTCATTAGCCACTGTAGGGAAAGTAACGAAAAGAATAACAAAGTGCAGTAAACGGTAAAACAGTTTGCACTACAAACCATACATTAAAATAATACATTAAAATAATATGGTAAGAAACACCAGTTTGCAATATCAAGCAGCAAAACAAGCTGTTTTGTACAGCTAAAATAGCTGGAAGTGAATGAGACCGGAAGACCGGACCTCGCACATAAAATTTACAAATGGTCGCGCACGTTCTTATGAGAAAAATAAGGTGGATTGTTTTTCCCATTTTCTTACTGAGAGAAAATTACCACCTTAAAGAAGTAGGTCTGGATTATGCAAATAAACCAGTGGATTCTCCTGCCACTAAACCTGCAAAACAGCATTAAGTATGATGCAGGTGGACTAATGCAATACAGCATTAAAGAAGGAATAATGTCAATTCATTGAGTGTCAGAGGAGCAGAGGATATGAAAGGTAACACCATTCACTGATCCCTTCCCTCTGCACAAACAACCACTGCAGTGTATATAACCCCTCTCTCCCTCTACCTTCTTCATATATCTCTGACTGCCACACAGAAGCAAGATGTTCTCAACCAAGTAAGCTGTTACCTTGTGGGTTTGCATGTTCTGTGGTTCAATGTGTCTACAGACTGCATGCCCCGGCCCCTCCCTGTCTAACAAGATAGTCTTGCTATAATGTCTACTGAAGATCAGAGGTCGCACCCAGTGCTTTTTAATGTGAGCCATGTGTCTGTGCTACTTTAAATTCCATTAACGGCCTCTTCATCATGGTGTTTTTGTAACCTCCGAAGATTTTGTTTCTATGAGCAGCAAAAAATGTGCAAATGTATGTGTTTTTATTATATTTTGATGTGTGTCAGTGGGCTCCCTCTGTATTTTTGTTGCCATGTGTCATAATGAAATGCTTGAGCGTGTCATTCATGCCCAAAGACAGGAACATCCTCTCTGCTGAAAACATAAAGGAGCAGGAAGCTGCATATTCATGGCTTTATTTCATCTCTCAGGCTTCCTGTCTTCTCATTTCTCATCATCTCTCCACTTGTCTCCTGCAGCCCATTGACTATGAGGGCTTCCAGCTATTCATGACAACCTATCTGGAGAATGACATCCCTGAGGAACTTTGCAAACACCTCTTCACCTCCTTCAAGAGCAAGAATGGCGGAGGCAGCTCCCCTGACACCTCTCGATCTGGAGCAGGCATGCTGGGTAAATACTCTTTTAAAATGCCTTCATACTATCTATAACGGGTCATGAAAGTCTGTGTTTCATATTTATTTTAGCAGTTTTAATAGGAGAAACAGGTGTCAGTTTCTTCTGAGATTCATTTTTTGGGAGCTGTGAATGAAAAACTGCACTGAAACACACTTGTGCGCTGATACATCAACAGTTGGGTCCAGATTCAAATCGATTTTTAACTGGAAATAAGCTTTAAGTTTTAGGATGACATAAAATAAGAAACATTTACAATTCTTCACTATTTGTAAACTTTCTTTGTAAAGAAATTCATCAAGATTTTTTTTTTCCAGTTTACTCAGCATGTTATACTGATCACAAAACGTATCCTCGTAGCTTTGTAAAATTACGGTTGAACCCCTGATGTCACATGGATTATTTTACCGATGTCCTTGCTACGTTTTGGGGCCTTGATCGTGTAAGGACCCTTGCTGTCTATGGAGGGTCAGAGAGCTCTCAGATTCCATCAAAATTATCTTAATTTGTGTTCCGAAGATGAACGGAGGTCTTACGGGTTTAGAACGACATGAGGGTGAGGAAATAATGACAGAATTTTCATTTTTGGGTGAACTCTCCCTTTAATGAAAAGATGCTGGTGGCTTTGTGTCCGCTACTATTACTGTTAACCTGAGGTGATTTAGAGCAAAAATTAGGTGAGTATACAGTTCGACAGCCAACAGTGCCATCTAGTGCCTTGATTTCTCTGGACTGACTAATACAATACAATCGGTGATTTCTGTTGTTCTATTTGTCTTTAATGCAACTCCTTAATGCTAAATGAGAAATGTTCATTATGGCAGTAATAAATCTGCCATATTAAGCTGTCCTGACTGGCTGCACTCATAAACTATCCCAGCTATCTTTTCCTCTGTCCGTCTTGCTCTACTCCTGTTTCACTTTACTTTGACCCCTGTGTCTGCAGAGCCCAAGTCCATTGATGCAGGCATCTCTATACAGACCGAAGTGGCCTGTGCACCCATAACAGGTACCACAGCAAGTGTGGTGTGATTTGATTGGACAGAGACTTGCATCACGGCTGTGACTTAAACGTGTTCCTTCACCTGGTGTTGTTATGTGTTGTCTTGGTGTGTCTTGGCAGCTCTTTTTATTTATTTGTGAGGTCAAACAAAGCAACCAGTGACAGATATGATTTTCATCCATGGTGTCAAGTCAACCACTGTGTGACTGTGGTGACAATCGTGATGTACCACCAGCTTCCTTCTTAGTACATTGTGCAATATTAAAAAATGTCTGCCATGTGTCATTCTACCTGTCGTGGTTTACAAAACTTCCCAAACTGAACAGTTTAAAGCGCTGTGCAGGGGTAAACAGACCAGTAACAACAAGCAATATAAAGGCAAAAACTATCAGACTCGGTTGGTCTCATTCACTAATATTTGTGTACAAGTGTTCGTATTTATGTGTATAGAATGGGTTCTCATGCAAAACGTTCATAACAGGTGTGTACATAAATATCTATTTTATTCTAATATTTATGAATCCATTTCATTATGAATGAGCAAAGCCATTGACGCTCAGTAAATGTGTTTTGTATAGGGTGTCTGCTTGAAATCTAGAGAAAAAATAAGATTTTACATTGTTACAAAAAACATTCTGTTTTAAAGAAATGCTGTTCTTTTGAACTTAATAGTCATCAAAGAATCCTAAAATGTATGTATTCCACAAAAATATTAACCATTCAAATCGTTTTCTGATTATGTGACATGATGACTGCAGTAATGTCTGCTGAAAATTCAGCTTTGCCATCACAGGAATTAATTGCATTTTGTAAAATTAAACTATGTTTTTATACAAGTAGAAAAGTCATTTTAATTGTAATAATATTTCACAATATTACAGTTTATCTATCTATCTATGTATCTATATACAGTATATCTACACTCTAAAAATAATTTTTTAGAGTGTATATTCACTATAATTCACTAAAGTTTAATTGAAAAAGTTATTGATAAATAATGATTTTTTGTTAATAATGTTCATTCACAGGTTTCACACATTTGTGTGTACACACAGTTAGTGAATGAGACCCTACGCTATGTTTCTTCCTGTCTCATTTCAGATCATCACTTTCATTCTCCTCTCTATTTTCATGTGCTGCTTTTTTCCTTGTAGGTATGAATGGGAAGAGTATTTTGAGTGCTATGAGCCGACATACACCAGAGAACTCAGCAGGGATCACTCCAGGCTCAGGGGCCACCACATCACCCTGCTCCTCCCTCTCCTCCTCACAACGCTCAGGCACAGGGGGCCACACACCCAGAGGCCCCCACCGCTCACCCGGCATGCAGCCCAATCCCCCAGCAAGCAGCAGCAGCAGCAGCAGCCATGCTTTGGCTCTCTCCAAGACTACCAACTCCCCGCGCCTCTCCCCAGGTCAGAGTCATGAACAAGGGGACAACCTTGATCTTCACTGCCCTTTTTTACACGTGTAATCCATGACAAGGGTCTTATAAAGTAATATTGCCTGTTAAGAATCTGGATGCTCCCACACAAATACTTTGGTGTGATATCTGGTGTCATTACTGATATATTATACATATAAGTGTACAGCACTTTGGCCAACTAAAGTTGATTTTAAATGTGTTTTATAAATAAAACTGAATTGAACTGAAAAATTATAATTTAACATTCTTCCAGAGCGTAATCAATCAGAAAATCGTACTTCTCTCCGGAGGAGTCCTTCTCCACAAAAAGGATCTCCGTCACCCCAAGTGGTCTTCCTTAAAGACATTGTGTGCTACTTGTCCCTGCTGGAGAGGGGGACGCCAGAGGATAAGCTTGAGTGTAAGTTGGAAATTATTCAAAAATAATTCTTCCTTTAATCTCCTTCTTATTTACATTAAGACAACATATCCTCAATAATTCCCACTTTTCCAAAGTTCTTCTAAAGAAAAAATATATATATATATTTTAAGTAATTTTGTAAATCATGTCTCCAAACCAGTCATGCCAACCACAGAAAGCACAGTATTAGTCACTAGCATGTGAAAAGTCACCTCATTCTTGGCAGGTGTCACAAATTTAATTTCCTTACTGACAGTTCATATTTAAACACAGCATATGAAAAGCAGTTATGGATCTTTGAGATGCTTGAACAGTCAGTTTCATTTCAGTTACTGTAGCCTATGTGATGGCAAAGGTGAATTTTCAGCTGCCATTGCTCCAGTTATCAGTGTCACGTGATCCTTCAGAAATCGTTCTAATATTTGGTGTTTAAGAAAAATGTCTTATTATCAATGTTGATCACAGTTGTGCTGCTTAATATTTTTGTGGAAACTGTGATACATTTTTTCAGGATTATTTGATAACTCGAATGTTCAAAATAGAATAGCATTTGTTTGAAATAGAAATCTTTTGTAATATATAGAAAAAAATCTGTAAGTAGCTATAAGTTATTAGCTATAAATAATAAATCTGTTAAGTAATAATAAGTCCGTATATTTACATATAGTACACCCAACAACAGCTTTGTCAGTTCTAGATTTTTCTTGACTTCTGATCTACACATAGTGAGAGTGACAGGAGACTTCTAGAATCTCTTTCTCTTGTTCTGTAAGGGCTGATCTCTGCTCCTGTCCTTATTTGCCATGGAGTTAGCATAGCCCAGCTTTCTTTAGCATAGGAAGTTATTTGTGCCCAAAGCTAATCCTCACTAGCTGCCTCAGTCTGCCTTTTGATAACCTGAGCTCCAGATGCTTTCATGGGGTCTGTACTTGACAAATGTTTGCTACACTACAAAAAGATGCAGTCTCTTATCTTTTACTTCTCTCACCCTAAAGTCATGTTCAGGCTGTACGACACAGATGGCAATGGTCTGCTAGACAGTTCGGTAAGTCTGAAATCTCCGTTATTATGTGTCATTTTGAAATGTCCAGTTGTTTGACTTTGTGGTTAGATTGGTGCTGTAAACAACAAGGGGTTAATAATGCACAGTACACAGTACTGCACAGTTTATTGTTAGGGTTACATACAAGTTTAATACAACATACACAGTTAGAGTGCATTTCATTTGGATTATGTAATATTATTATCATCCTTTCATTGAATGTTTCATTCATCTCAACACTATCAGAACTTGATGATTCAGAGCCTGTCTCACAGTACTATTGATCTTTTTTTTTTTGGAAACTTTGAACTGATAGTTGGAGAGAACTGTAAATACTAGTAATTTTACTAGTAATTTAGAAAACTGTATGCTTTATAGTGTATAATATCTAAAGCAATTATATCTGTCGATTTAGGAGCTCGACCGCATCATAAACCAGATGGTCCATGTAGCTGAGTATCTAGAATGGGACTCTACAGAACTACGACCAGTATGAATCACTTTAAATGTTTCCACCAGGCAATCCCAACTTGCATAGTAAAATTCATATCTTATTGTCCCTTATTTCATGTCTTATATTGTAGATTCTGAAGGAGATGATGGAGGAGATTGATTATGACCGGGATGGAACGGTCACATTAGAGGAGTGGATCAGAGGAGGAATGACCACCATACCACTCCTGGTCCTGCTGGGAATGGAGACGGTGAGGAGAAACTAATTGTGAGTTAAAAAGAGGAAACAATACATTAAGATGTAGTATCTTAATTCCTGTTCCTCTTTCACATACATTCAGAATGTAGAGGAAGATGGGCAGCATGTATGGAGACTGAAGCATTTCAACAAGCCAGCATACTGTAATTACTGCCACACTATGTTGTTAGGAGTAAGAAAACAGGGCCTTTGCTGCTCACGTGAGTATCTGTCTGCCCGTCTCTCTATCTATTGCTCTGTCCATCTGCCTGTTTGTCATCTGTCGTCTTTCTGTCTATCTCTATATCTGTCTTTCTGCTTATGTTTGTCTGTCAGTCATTCTATTTATCTGTCTGTCTGTCTGTCTCTGTCTGTCTGTCATTCTGTCTAACTGTAATTGTTCTATCTGTAGTTTTGTCTAACTACATTTGTATATGTTGTTCTGTCATTCTATCATTTTATCAGTCTCTGTCATCTAGGCCCTAGGCCCCATGAAATCCAAATTCTATTTTAATTTTATCCAAATTATGTTTTTCTGTTTTATTTTTTCTGGATTCATTTTTTTCTGTTTAAACTGTTTTAATGGCTAAATTAAATTTTATTAAACAAAAAGCATATCTAATTAATTGAAATCATGAAACTTACACAATTTAACAGCAATTTATTAAGAGTTTAACCAAGAATTACATTTTTAAGGCCCTGTGAAATGTTTTTTTTTTCCTCAAATTTTGTTTTATTTTTACCAAATTCTGTGTTTTCCTTAATATTCTGGATTCTATTTGAATGGTTTCATTAAATTGTAATAATCAAAATCATCTGTAAATAATTGATGTTATAAAAAAAAACTAATTTATTTATTTTTCAGAAATACCATGTTGTGTATTTACATTTTTCTGGTAAATAATTTTGTCTGGTTAATATTCCTTAAAAATAATGTTTTAATAATAATTTTATTAGTAGTAATGTACTATCATTATATTAATAATATATTTCTGTCACAATTTCTTCAAGTTGAACCGAACTTTTATTTTGAGAGGTTGTTGTGAAGACCTTTCATTTTTTCTTTTTGCATGATATGACAATAGTTGTTCTCACAAGAAACAGTAAATGCTCATGAAGTGACTCTCAGAGCAGTTCTATAGATTATGTTCATGTGTTCATTTACTCATATATTGAGGCAGCAGAGGCTGAAAACACCGCAAGCATCACATGCACTTCAGTATGTGTAAAACGAAACCACGCGTCTGCGCCATTCAATCACACAGAGACTCGCGGAACATGCAGGATTAATATTGAAATAGTATTTTGCAGCTTAATATTCACAGCTAGTAGTCCATATCACGTTTTGGCTTAAGAGTGTATTGACCTACTTTTGATTCATTCATCCAAAATTTGTCAAATTCTGTGATATTATACAGTAAATTCCATTTTTATGACTGGTTTCCGTGATTCTGTTTGTGTTTTCGATCTCTGTATCTGTCAGTCTGTCTAGCCATCTGTTGATCTAACTATCTGTCATTTTATTTAATTATATCTGCCCGTGTTGTTCTGGCTTTCATTGTGTCTTTCTATCTGTCTGTTATCTCTCATCTTTCTTTCTATCTATCGCTTTATCTGTCTGTCTATCTTTCTAACTACCTATCCATCTGTCTGTTCTCTGTGTAGTTTTCTGTTTAAAATGTTTCCCTTCAATCTCTCATACTCCGTCTCTCGACTTCCTTTCTTTTGTTTGGCAGTATGCAAGTACACAGTCCATGAGCGCTGTGTGTCCAAAGACATTGCTCCTTGCATTAGCACCTACGCCAAGTCCCGCAGACACACCAATGTGAGTGCATAAACAACATAAGCTTACAAATTAACACTTCTCACTGTGTTTAAACTGAATTTTTCTCTGAGGAGTAATTTACAGTATGGCCAGAAGCAATCATTTTTATAAGACACATTTTTCATTTTTGTGAAACCAGGAGTCCCAGATTGATGTGTTTGGTACAGAGGTCATAGTTCTAACAAACACAGTGTTCTATTATTCGTAAACGACTCGTGTTATGATTATTTTATCCACTGACCGCAGTCCAGCTCAGTTTTCACCCAAGGCAACTTCCCAGACCCATAACTCTTGGTTTAACCTCAAAGTAATGTTCTGTGGACATGTCAGAAAGGCTATGAGAACATCCTGCTTGAAGTCTTTTTTCTATACTGAGAACTAGAGGGGAAAGCCTGAGATCACACAGCACTGTTTTAGTAGTCTCTGACACCTCTTTAAAACCTGCGCTCCCCATGCAGTAACTACCGCAGAGATGGAAGGCACTGCGTTCAAAAAATGTTGTCATTAGATTATGATTTCACAGAGTGTATTATGTGACATGTTAAGTGATGTGGAGTGTGATTTTAGTGTACAAAGCAATAAAATTGCATTGAACAGTGAAAATATCAGTTATCATGCTTAATGTGTTTATTAAGACTTGGAGCTTGTGTAAAAATATTACAAACTATCAAATTCAAAGTAATGTGCTGTAAGTTACTTCATTAGTCTTACCTTCATCTCACATACTATATGTTGTAGTATTCATTTTTTAGCCTTTAACATTAATTAGATTGAAAGAAAATGTAATTTTCTAGACCCTTCCTAAAGGATCATTTTGAAAGCTCTGACCAACAAACAAACAAAAATCACTGAATGTGTATAATAACATGTGAATTTTTGTCTTAAACGTTTTTTTTGTATTTTAGTACATTCCAACACTGCTAATTTAAGTTATTTCTTTACTAATATCCTCTGTATTCTTCCACACTTGAGGTTTTGCCTTGTGATGTGATTGTTTTAGTCAGTAAAGCATGACAGAGCAGGATAATCATTTCAGTAATGTATAGATGGGCTGTTTGAGTATTTCACAACTAAAATAAATAATGAGTCTCTATTTAATGTCTTTCTAGGCTATGCAGCATGTTTGGATGGAGGGCAACTCCCCAACAAAATGTGACAAATGTCACCGCAGTATCAAGTGCTATCAAGGTCTAACAGGCCTTCACTGTGTTTGGTGTCAAATCACTGTGAGTATATACTGACTTACTGTAGCCAGTAAGAGTATAAAACTTTTGTGTTAGCATTAATATTCATTGTAATTAAAAAAATGCCTTGAGCAAAGACTACTTTTTTAACGTTTTTCTGCATTTTTCCTTTTTATCTCAGTTTAATTCAGTTGTAGCCTATTTTTCTAAAAGCCATTTTAATGTAATACTTATTCACACCACTTGGTGGTGTTCTTCAATAAACTTTCACACCGTTTAGTGGACGTGACCAATTTGTTTTAAAATAGCCCTAATAAAGATAAGTGTCAGCACTTAACACTTATTCAGAAGCTTTTTTCTCTGCATAATGATTTTTATTATCACATTATATGCTCCTGCATATATCTCATACGCTCTCTGAACCATCTCTCCTGACAGTTTCAACTCTAAACTGCAACTAATTTAATATCAAGCACAGATCCTGCTGTCCTCTTTGTTCCTACCATTTAATGTCTTCTTACAAGGTCAGATTAGTGAGGATAAAACAAGTCACAAAAGATCCAGTCCATTCCAGTCTGTTGATATGTCTTTCTCCACCACTCCTCATCTATATTTGTATGTTTTCCAGCTCCATAACAAGTGTGCGTCTAATATAAAGCCTGAATGTGACGGTGGGCCATTAAAAGATCACACACTCCTGCCGTCGTACATCTGCCCTGTTGTTCTGGTGAGTTCAGTCTCTCCCACTGCACTCTTTTGATATGCTAAAATGCAAGGATCCCAGGACAAATGGGTGGGTCCTGAACGAATTCTTTAATGGGCCTCCTCTCTACTGGGACCAATGAGTAGTCTATACTATAGAGAATACATACTCATTGTATTTATAATTGGGTATTGTAGACACAGTGCAAGTCATTTCTAGATAGTTTGAGGTTATTTTAAAGTTATACACAACACACAAATGTTAAGAAAATTGATGTTAATTAATGTGAATTGAACAAACACCCTTCACACACACCTGGATGGTTGCAGGTGCACATCACATAACCATCAGAAAGAAGAGAATATTTCTCCTGCATGCTGCCATGGCTTCCAAATCTTTAAATATTTATTTAAAAAGCAATGTTTTGCAATGTCCGTCGCTTAAGTAAAAAAAAAAAAGAAGAAAGAAAAGACGACATCTACAAGGAAGGAGAATTTTTTTTTTAAATATATTTTTAATACATCTGTCTATACATACCTTTTTTATATATCAAAAATATTTTGATGTATTTTGGATATTGCAGCAATAAAGGGATAAAAGAGAGTTTTTTGTGCACCCTCGGTCACAAAACAAAAACAATTTTTCCTACTGACTGGGAATTTGCATTACGAAATTAAAGGATGTTCACTGTTTTTGTGCTATAACAAATAGCCTCGCCACTCGGCCCGGCCACTACGGATGGACCCATACTACCCCTCCCCCCAAAAAAATCCTTGGGGAGAATATTGTCTTTAGAGGCCCTCCATAGGCCTAACTCGGGAACTGTGGCCCTCCCTGGGCTTGACTTGGGGACTGGAGCCCTCCTTGGGCTGGACATGGGAACTGGAGCCCTTTCTGTGCTAGACACGGGGACTGGAACCTTCTCTGGGCTAAACTCAGGGACAGGAGCCCTCACTGGGCTAGACTCGGGGACAGAAGCCCTCACTGGGCTAGACTCGGGGACAGGAGCCCTCACTGGGCTAGACTCGGGCACTGGAACCCTCTCTGGCCTAAACTCGGGGACAGGAGCCCTCCGTGGGCTAAACTCGGGGACAGGAGCCCTCCGTGGGCTAAACTCGGGGACAGGAGCCCTC